CATGCCCCCAAATCTGTTGGAAGTTCTGGAGAAGGGAATCAAGGATCCAGCATGTGTGCAGCCCTTGCCGGATGAAGCAGCTTTAAGATACAAAAGGATCATCGGGAAGTTGTCGTGGTGGGCACAGTCGAGGCCTGATCAATCCCGCTTTCTCTCCATCCTTGCCACTGGACAGGCGACGCCCAGTAATTTGCATGAGACTGCGCATCGCAAATACCTTGGGTATGTGAGGAGCCAGTTGCATGTTTCAACGTTTTCCTGCAGGAAATGATGCGTCGCCTGAATATGATGGCTTGGTCGGTGTCAGTGATGCCTCTTGGGGGTCTAGTGACCTTGAGCGACGTCGATCAACGAGTGGAGGATTGATCTTTTGGCAGGGATCTCTGGTGTGGTGAAAGGCTTCAGTCGATTGCAAGGCTGTGTGACTCTTTCATCTTGCGAAGCAGAGATCATCGCAGTGTGTCAGCTTACACAAGAGTGTTTGGGGATTCATCGTTTGACCGAATTTGGGGATCTGTCGATGAAGGTGTCCACCAAAGAGTTTCTAGAGCTGAAATTTGATGATGTTGGCAAGCCAGGTGACCATTACCCAATATTGATCTTCTCAGATTCTCAGTCATGCCTTGGTGCTTGAGCAACCAGGGGTTGAGTAGGAGAGTTCGACACATGTCAACTTCGGTTTGCTACATTCAATCGTTGAAGGATTCAGGCAACCTTGTTTTGGAATAATGGTTGCCAGGGACCAAGTGCACCGCAGATTTGCTGACGAAGGTGCTGTCGAAGGAAACGAATGATTTCCATAGAGCCCAACTTGGGAACATTGAGATCTTGGGACAAGAAGAATGGCAGGCGATCACCAACAAAGAGTTGAAGAAACAACCAAAGAGATCTGATGTTCAGGTCGTCGAAGTCCATGATGATGATCCGAGTGTTGAAGACCTTTCAACTTTTTCGTCAGGGAAGGACCTGTCGGTTGGAGGGCTTGAAGATTTTGAGAGTTTTCTGCGTCATGTCCATGCGGATGGAGCGTGACCCATGTCATCATTGAGTTGTGCACCAATTTGAACGCAGGGTTGCCCCAGGGTATCAGTTCTGTCAAATCAGGTCATTGCGTTGTCGTTCCTGTCACCACAGAGATTGATTTACGTTGTGTTCACAAACTGTTGCATTCATGGGTAGTTCAGTTGAGACATTGCTTTTGGCCTGGACATCACCTCCTTGCGCAGGAGGGTCACCGGTATTGAATCTGATACCTCAGCCAAGGCGCGCAGAGCTCCAAGAAGGACACTTGAAAGACTTTGAGGGACTGTTGTTGAAGAGTCACCCAATTGTCAGCGTTTGCGATTTTAAAGTGCTTGAGATGTCGCAAAAGTGTTCTTACTGGGAGAACTAATCGGTCCAGGCGTTCTGCCGATTTCATGGATTGAGGTTCATCGTGGACATCGCAAGATGCGCATACGTGAGTGAACAAGATGCGTCAGCTTTGCACAGGTACCGTTTCGCTAGCAGTTGTTCAATGTTCATGCCAAGGTGTTGCGAGCGCGAAAGCCTCATGTCACTGAACAGTCAGGAGCTGTCCAAACTTGGGGAATATCCTAAGGGGTTGGCAGTGTCGATTGTGAAGTGGTTCAGCACGCAGAAGCCATAGGTATGAAATGAATCCTTAATCCGTAGATCTCGAGATGAGCTTTTGTTCGGTTGGATTGATCGATGGATATCCGCGCATAACACTTGATCGAGCGGCATGTAGGATCGGTTGGTCCGACCACTTTGCAGTCACAGAAAAGACATAGTGCACTGACTAGCTTAAAACTCCATGCATATGGATACAATTCGACATCATACGCATGAATCACGATTCGTCGAACAATCTACACTTGTTCATACGAACGTTCAACAGGTGTTTAGAGCTGCACGGTGAGAGCGATGTCGGGCATTCGCGTGAAGGTTGATGTGGAGGGCAGCGGTGGAACCGTGGAAATCCATGTCACCAATTCGCAAGCCGGAAGCTCGACTGACCAGAATTCGAAGATGCCAATGAAGAGTGGAACATCGAGCACTCACCAGGTGACAGAGGAGAAGGCAGAAAAGTCCGCCAGCATTGTGAGCAAAGGAGCCAGTGTGGAAGAGAATGAAGAATGGGAGCAGGTGTCCATGGATGTGGAGACTTCAGAGTCCAAGGGCACGAAGAATGGTGAAGAGGAAGGGGGTCAGTGGAAAATACCACTCCAGTAACCGAGGTGAGTTTGTCATTGACGCCATCGACGCCACCTCCTCAAGCCCCCGTGGAGCGCCAGCGAGACATTACCGCCTACTACTTCACGAAGAAAGCTGGCAACAAGTCGCACATTCGTGATTGTGGAGTGATTTGATTGCCGTGAAGATGTGTTCTGTGTGCACCCGATCCGGCATTCGCCGAAACACAGAAATCTTCGTGTTTTCGTATGAGCACGCTTCCCATCTGCACCGGTTCGATGGCTGCCGAGTCCCACAGAATCGGCTGCTCATGGCTTGCAAGCAATGCAATAAGTGCGTGACTGATGATGAGCACTAGAGCACTTGTTTCGAGAAAGACTGTTAAACATCGAAGAGCAGAGCGTGCATATGATCGAACATAGCCCCAGAAGTCACTATCTCAAGCATGCTTCTTCGAGATAGGGACTTCAACGTCGCAAACATGGCCCAACGAGGGCTCAACAGGGACTGGAAAAGCCTGCAAAGTCACTATCAAAGTCACTATCCTCGAGATAGGGACTTGAACGTCCGGGTACATGGCTGGTCAGGAGCAGAGATAAGGAAAGATAAGGTGGTCAGGAGCAGAGATAAGGAAAGATAAGGTCCAGGAATGGCAACATTATCTCCTCCCATATGGTCGCTTCCCCAACATAGGTACTTGAACGTCGTAAACATGGCCCAACGAAGGCTCAAAAGGGACTGGAAAGAGTGAAGATATTGCCTAACATAGCCTCAGAAGTCACTATCTCAAGCACGCTTCTTCGAGATAGGGACTTCAACGTCGTAAACATTGCCCAACGAGGGCTCAAAAGGGACGGGAAAAGCCTGCAAAGTCACCATCAAAGTCACTATCTTAAGCATGTCTCCTCGAGATAGGGACTTGAACGTCCGGGTACATGGCTGGTCAGGAGCAGAGATAAGGAAAGATACGGTCCAGGAATGGTAACATTATCTCACGAGCATAGATCCCATATGGTCGAACATAACCCCAGAAGTCACTATCTCAAGTATGCTTCCCCGAGATAGGTACTTGAACGTCGTAAACATGGCCCAACGAAGGCTCAAAAGGGACTGGAATAGAGTGAAGATATTGCCTCAGAAGTCACTATCTCAAGCGCGCTTCTTCGAGATAGGGACTGCAACGTCGTACACATTGCCCAACGAGGGCTCAAAAGGGACTGGAAAAGCCTGCAAAGTCACTATCTCAAGCATGTCTCCTCGAGATAGGGACTTGAACGTGCGGGTACGTGGCTAGTCAGGAGCAGAGATAAGGAAAGATAAGGTTCAGGAATGGTGGTCAGGAACAGAGATAAGGAAAGATAAGGTCCAGGAATGGTAACATTTTCTCACGAGCATAGTTCCATATGATCGAACCTAGCCCCCGAAGGCAATATCTCAAGTATGTTTTCTGGAGATAGGGCCCCGAACGTCGCAAACACCCTCTCCACTTCCATATTGCCTAACATCGATTTGGCTCCACAGGAGCAGAGATAAGCAGATCAGGTCCAGGAACGGTAACATTATTTCACGAGCATAGCTCCCATATGGTCGAACATAACCGCAGAAGTCACTATCTCAAGTATGCTTCCCTGAGATAGGTACTTGAACGTGGTAAACATGTCCCAACGAAGGCTAAATGGGACTGGAATAGAGTGAAGATATTGCCTAACATCGCCCTAGAAGTCACTATCTAAAGGACGTCTGCGGATAGGGATTTGAACGTCGTAAACTGGAATAAAAAACCCCCAACATACGTCCTATTAGATAGCTTCAGGTAGGTGCAACATGGGACCACACCTGTCATATGGCTGCGCGTTTTGTCGGGTAGCACAATCGAGCTCTGTCCAGGGGAGCTGAACGCTTCGCGCACGCAAAACATGACCTTTTGCGCCGAATCAAAATGCGCGCACCGACTCACAATTTCGTTCTATCTACAGGGTGAAACATGGCATTTAACCCCCCAACTACGTTGGGCCATGTTAAATCCCTATCTCGAAACATGAAAGGGGGGGTCACTTCCGGGGCTATGTTCGGTGGAAATATTGTCCCCTTCCATGCGGTGCGGGCGGTTACCGCCGCGAAGCGACGTGAATACAGCTCATAACTCGAAGGCTGATAACCAGTACGGCCCCTAACTTGTGTTCTTGTTTGCTTTCAACTCAGGAACAATGCAAGCTGCGCCTCGGGGGGGTGTGAAAGTTAGACACCTACATGTCCCTTCCAAGGTACCAAGCATTGCATTGCACCGCATGTGGGAGCTCGAGTGTTTTTACAGTGCGGATGACACGCACAAATCGATAAAGTGAACCAGAGTCAACGGGCAATGGCCTTAGTCTTCGCCCAAGACTAGCGGACCTGAGAGCTGCAATGGCCAATCCCAACCATGGTCATTGCTTTTGGCCGGAGTTCGAAGTTGACCGTCGCGCCACGTACTGTGGCTCAAGTGCGAGCAAAACAGACTGCACTGGGGCGCGTGGGAGGGCAGGCCGACGGAATCGATTCGAAGAATTCGAACATCGGCAAATCAAGAAGTGTACCAAGTTTTCAACTTTGGTTTTCTTTTGTGTTTGAGCCCACGTGAATTTTCATAGGTGGTGGTGGTGGTGGTGGCGGTGGTGGCGGTGGTGGTGGTGGTGGTAGTGGCGGTGGTGGTGGGGGTGGCGGCGGCGGCGGCGGCGGTGGTGGTGGTGGTGGTATCTATATGTATATATATATAGAGATGTTTACATACACCCTCTTTTGCGCTCGAGCTATAAGGCCCGGACTTCAAGAACGAACTGGATGAGAATGATGCGCTACCTGGTCGGCCGAATGCTGTATCAAAGTCAAGCCGCAGCAGAAGGTCTCAGTTCACCGCTGTGTTTGTTCTTGTCAAACAGAAAGGTGACCCAAATGTGTGAAAACGCCTACCCCGCGCGCTCAATGCAAAGAATGCACACGCCCCAGGTCTGAACAAATCTAAACACAAAGCGTCCTCCAAGCCAGACAAGAAATGGTTTCCCCCTTGCATCCACTTTGCAAGCCTGAGCGGCGCCGCCTTTCATTTGCCCCAATCAACACAGTTGCAAGCAGAGGGTCCAAGCTGTATGCGGCCCCGGACAGAAGGCGCTGCGAGGCCCTGCGTATGAAACCAAACGTAACACTCAACATTGAGTCGAGTCCGCCACCCTCTGCGCACACTCTCAACATTGAATGGCCCAACACCGCCGCGTGGGAGGGGAAAGCTCCACGGCGTTGAGATCCGTGCCAAATACAAAACGCAAGGGAGAAACGGAAGGGTGTCTCACGGGGCGCCCATAAATCGTTGCGACACTCGCTGGGCGCTCGTCTCACCCATCATCCAGTCAAGACTTCAACACACTCACCTCACACACACACACACTCAGGGTAAAAGCACGAACGATGTGAAAGCCTCCTGCCACACACCGACCAAGGTATGAAAAGCTAAAGAATTTGCAAGTCTGAGGTTCAATTGCAGACCTACGTATGTCTGATACATCCCACCTTGAACTTTTCACATCTTTCAAACCTTTTCAAACATTTTGCCCGAAAAAACATCTGCGAAGGGCTCTCCTTCAAGAAGGGCTACCAACTTCAACTGTTGAACTACTATACAGCAAGCACATGCAGGATCAGCACGGTCATGATCATCACCGTCAGTGCCCCATCATCGACATCACCATTATCATCATCGCCATCATCATCATCATTCAGCAGCAGCAGCACCACTGTCATCTCCTTCAACATCAGCGATACTCCCATCATCATCAACATCATCATCATCATCACCATCATCATCACCACTATCATCATCATGAACATGATCATGATCATCATCATGAACATGATCATGATCATGATCATCATCATCATTATCATCATCATCATCATCATCAGCGTATGAAGTCGCACAGATGCAGGGCCAACACCTACTATATGACATCTACAAAGATACAGGTGTTTTGAGACAGGTATTAATGTGCGAAACTCGCACGTCGTCCTCTGGCCCGGGGAACCCTCCGCGAGATCGCGCGCGTCAAGTCCTCAACCGCGAGGCGAAATGCGATTTCTGCGTGGGTGGCCTCTACGGAGATCGCGCGCGTCGAGCGCGCGAATTCTGTAGTTCTTGGGCGAACCCTCTGCGGAGATCGCGCGGCACGAACGTGAGGCGAAATGCGATATTGTCATTGGGACACCCCTCTGGAGATTGTGCGCGTCAACCGTTCAAACATGATGCAACTTTTGTTTCAAAAACGCGGAATCGCCGTCGAAAATCGACGTGGAAGTTGCCAAATTGCGCAACTGTCGTCGAAAACGACGGGTGGTGTCTGGTACATACTAGTCGTTGAAAACGATGGTGGAGGTGGCCCGAAAATGCGTAACTGTCTTGGAATGTTGTACAGATATTATAACGCGGGAAGCTTTGGCCTCAGAACTGGCCACTTGGTAGCAAAAAGATGCAGTGTGGCCACTTGGTAGTAGAAATAACTGCAGCGCGGGTACAAGTGTAGTGCGGGAAGCAGCTGCCTCTGTCCTGAGAAGGGCAATGCATTCTGGGAGGTGGCTTGAGAACTAGCCAGCTCTGACTTGGTAGTGCAAATGTAGAGGGGGAGCTTCTGGGAGCTGTGGCGTCACAACTGCAAAAGTGGCAACATTGTCAACTTTGTAGCACAAATGCAATGCGGGGCGCGTCCAAATTCCGTCTGTGTTTGCGTGAGCGCGTGCTGTTGGGGGAGGAAAACATGCTGGCCCTGCATGGTGTAAATTTAATTCGGGACGTCGCTAGATGATTGTCGCTGCGTCACGCGGTTTTGCCCAAGTTCGGTGGAAAGTGCGTCTAGCTGCGTGAGTCCACACCGCTGGGGAAGAACAAACACGACGATGTAAATTCGGCTCCGAGGCCTGGCGTTACATTGCTGTATCTAGTCTGTGGCACACCGTGCGGCCAAATTACGTCTGCGACGTCGCGGCGCCATGGAGTCCGTTTGTATCTAGTCTGTGGCACAGGCCCCTGTGTTGCGCGGCCTCGGGGAAAGTGCGTTTGCGCGAGTCCGCGCCATTGGAGGAAGGAAACGCGCTGGTGTAAATTCGGTGCGTTGCTGGGGCGAGGTGATTGGCGGCGCGCATGAGGCTTAACTGCGCCTGCGGTAACTAGCACCTGAGCCATGTCTGCAGTGCTTCCTCAGAATGCAAGAATGCAAAAGGCAGAATCCCTCCCACCAAGTAGACGATATGCTCGCAGCTCTTCAGGCGCTATAGCGCTCCGCGCCATATCTCAGACTACTTGTCTTCCGCTATGGAAGCACGGGCGACAAAGACACGTCCTAGACCAAGGTTGTAAACTTCAATTTCCGTAGAATTCCGTAGGTATGTGCTTGGTTTCTCCAGTTTCACCCTGCTGCTTCCTGACCCCTCAGGATGCTTCGCATCGCCCAGCAGCTCTGGAGAAACTGCAAGGGCCCGCTCCTGTCGTGGACAGCCAAACGCCGAAGGGAAGCAAGAGAGGAAGGTGCCTGGCCCAGGTTGCGAGACAAAGCTGCAGAAAACTGTATCAAAAATAAAATGGCCTATTCTTGCAAGCTCGTAAGTCTCCGGGACAGCCTTTCAGGCTCAGTCCACTCCACGCTATACTCCACGCTATACATATGAAGCCACATATATCAGAACCCAACACACCTGCGCACAACTGTCAAGCAACCTCCAGTTGGCTACTTTGGGTGCATAGAAAGAACTCAGCTACTTAACAATCAGGGCATATCTCCAAGCACAACCTGCAGTACCCGACATTGCGAAGATGGGGGTGGTGTTCCATAGGCCCGTGTCTACGCGTGCGCTCAGCACTCCGGCGACGCATCAAAAGAATCACACACGAGCCCATTGCCGCTCTCTCCGTCATACTTGGCGCCTTCTGTCTGCTACTTCGTTGTCACGCTAAGTGCATCGGCGCACTCCTGGTCGACATAACGAAAAGGAGAGCGGCTCGCCATCTTGACCACGGCCGAGATCTTTAACGTAGCGCGGACGCTGAAAAAGAGACTAGTGATGAGCTACGCCAAAAATGAAACCAGAACTGGCACTCGGTGCAGCAACCTAGGAAACACCAGGTCGCAGGTCCTGACCGGTGTGAGCGAAGCAATCATTCCGAAGCCACTCATTTCCGGGTGCGATGAGCCCCCACACCGCCGCCGACAGGCAGAGTGCCTTGACGCTCGCCAGAGAATGGCCCAGCGGGCGGGCGTTTTGGATGACGCGCTGGCGCAGAGCGTGGGGCAGCACTTCGATCGCGTGGGCTGCTTTTGCTTGAGGATCCACAGCCCCTGGCACTGACAGACTTGGTAAGAGGTGCAGCACATGGACAGGCGCACGCCTTCTTTGCTGCGTTCAAAACGATTCCACGCGTTGTATTTTTCGAAAAGCTAGAACCGTGCTTTGGAAGGAAAGCAGCACTGCTTCGCGCAGCTGGCTCGCTGAACCCTCACCTCCGCGTAACAAACGGAAAGGGTTTGCGGTTGGAATCGGTGAGGGCATCCATGTCCAGACCCCTTTGTCTGTTTGATTCGATTGCCTTGCAGACCACGGTAGATGACAACTGGTTGGAGCGCCTAAATCCAACACCTCCAGAATGTCGCCTTCGTTGAACTCCTCTGACTCGATCGCTTCCGGATGTGTCCTCAAGTCGAATCTGGGGGCTGAGCTATGGCTCCTCGGATGGCCGCGGGGCGGCCTGCCTAGAATTCACGTCCCAACGGGCGATGCGTCGTCCTCGCCTGCCCGTCGTCGTGCCTTTTTGTATGCTATTGATGCTTGCTGCCTCCTCTGTGCTTCTTTCTCTTCTCACGATGATCTTCCTCAAACCTGTCCTCTTCCTCGCGGTCTCCTCGTTCACGGGCTCGATGAGCTGGAGGTGGTCGCTTCCCGAGCCGGCTGCCCAGACATGGTGCGTGCAGCTACAATGGCTCGTGCTTGACACGCGCACACATCGCACGAGACCTTTTTCATCGTAATCTTGTCCCATCTTCCGCTTTGCTTCGACCAACTTGAGGCTTTGCTTGCTTCTCGGCACGTGGCCTCTTCGAGGGGCCATATCCGATGACCACGCCCACGCACTCCGCCCGAGGACGCAATAAGGATGCTGGGCAGGGGCTCCTGCGCTTTCCGTAAAAACTTCTACCCCAGATGTTTTGCAGATTTCATGGCGAATAGTTCTGCGCAAACTCTCGGCTTGCACTGCGTCTGGACCAATCCAAAGCAAAACGAAGGGCTAGTGACACGGCCTCTCCCTACAGCTGAATCCGTCCGCCTTCCAACTTAAATTTCAACACGCCACAGCCCCAAAATTGACTAGTTGTGAAGGGTCGTGCTGAAAAGTATCCCTGCACGCATGGCCTTCAGTCAGAGAAAGCATCACAAGCTTGCTTGCGCTCAATACAAGTGAATAAACCGCCTCAGCCTCAGCCATGGTGAAGTCCGGTCTGCGATGAATCCTAGCAGTCAGCTTGCGTATACATAAATATGTGTGTGTGTCTGCGTCTGTGTATCTGTGTGTAGGTCGCACGTACATGTGTACGTGAATGTGGGGCTGTATGGCTGTCTAACTGCTTATCTCTATGTCTGGCGGTGTGCCGGTATAGTATGGTACGGTGAAGTGAGGTGAGGCGATGTATGTATAGATTGATAGGTACGTAGGCAGGGATGCGGATGCACAGGCAGATATATAGATGTCACTATTTTCAAACAGCTTCTACTTTGAGCTCTTCTTGCAGGAATTACCCCACCGAACGCTGCTTGCGCAACTGTTGCTTGCCTGGACTTCGGCCTCGAGCCACTGGCAGGCAGGCTCAGGAGCTAGTGCTACTGCGACTCATGCCAACACTCAGCTTCACAAGTGTGAAATGGGTCTGGTGCTTTTTCTTCGCTTGACTCCTGGGCAGATGTCACTTCTGCTTGCTTGGCTGACCTGGAATCAAGATCCGAAGTTGCGGCCAAATGAGGAACAACCAACCGACCAAATTAACAAATGTCACAAATAGTGCAATAGAATCCACAGTTATGTTGTATGTATGTATGTATGTATGTATGTATGTATGTATGTATGTATGTGTGTATGCGTGTATGTGTGTGTAATTATAATTATGTCTGTATGTGTGTGTGCATGCACGCACGCATGCACGCACGCACGCAGGCATGCATGGATGTATGTATGTATGTATGTATGTGTTTGTATGTATGTATGTGTTTGTATGTGTGCATATGTATGCATGTATGTATGCATGTATGCATGCATGCATGCATGTATGTATGTGTGTGTATGTTCTCTCCGCAGCAAGTCTTGGCGGCCTTTGTGGCCGGTGGCGCACGGTTAGCACAGCAGCTGCGTCATCTGGCGTCGCCGGATTTCTGGAGGGATCATGTTCTTACGTCTCTTCTTCTGCACCTTCAGCATGGCCTCTTCCCAGCCGCATGGCTGGGGTTCATGGCCTCTTCAGGTGGGAACTTGGCTGGCTCATGGGAGGCGGGCGCCTTGCCTGGTGGTGGATGGTGAGTCCGCAGAGATTGCCGCGCCAGTTGAGTGGTCAGGATGAGGTGGTTTTGCTGGTCGCAAGCAGCCTGCAAACCACGAAGTGCAATGGATCTTGTTGCCCAGTCGCCGCAGTCTGTGGGTATAGCATGCCCTCTATGACCATCCGTGAAAGCTTCATGAGTGGCCATTCGCAAAGCTGTTGAACAGCTCCTCATTGGCCTGTTTGCGCACAGACACTCCACACCCCGCCGTTTCTTGGAGCAAGCGCATGATCCTGAGTGGGCGCACGCTCCTGTTGGTTGTGCTTGAAGCCATTTTCAAAGACCCAATGCACTGCATCCATGAGAAGGCAGGACGTCATGAAGGCAAGTACATAACACCTGCAAACAACCGCGCAAGCACAGATGGCACCCACACCGCAGCGAATATTGCCCACAGTTGCAATTGGAGCCAACCACTCCATGGACAGATAACAAGGACTCCATGAGTCTCGGATGCTGATGTGTCTCAGCAAAGATGTACACCTCACTGTCCCTGGTCCAGTACCAGTCAATGACCTGTCCCCCAAAGTGGGTCACATTGCCAAAGCGCAACCGCATCCGATCTTGACTGCGTCGCGCCTTCTTTGGTGGACTTTCGTGGAGCGCTGGCTTGTCAGGAGGTGGTAGGTTGTTGCGTGGTTCTGAAAGTGTCCCCCCTCACTACTGACCAGATTTGGCTGATTTGACTGGACAACTTTGGTGTCACACGCAGCAAGTGGACCAGCGCTTGTCCATCGTTGGCCAACCACATCAAGTCCTTGTAGATGAGGCTGGCGAAATAGTGCCCAGTTTCATGGCTAGGGCCTCGATGGCATATGAGCGCCGCTGGAACAAAATCAGAAGCAGTCCCTGCAAACCCATCCAACGAGCGAGGTACCCTGAAGACTCCATACGGGTTCACAGGCTTGTTGCGCTTGGTGTTGACCCCATCAATGCAGGTGTTCCTGGTGACATGGCAGATGAGTGAGTACCGGCTTGTCATCCACGAGATGTTGGCCTAGGCCCTGATTGGCCCAGCCATTGATCAGCTCTTGGAAGGTGGCATCATCACGCCAGTCGTTGGGGTAGTCCACCAGCAGTGGTTCATGGTCAACCAAGTAGCCACTTTCCCATATCTCGTACCTGTAGTGGAAGGCACGGGTCTGTGACAAGAGCCACAAAAGAGATCTAGCATCCCTTGGACGTTGAGATCGCGCCTGTTCCAGAGGCTTTGGAGGCCAGGTAGGCTCTGCAGATCGATCGCATCGATCGGCGAGTTTCAGGGGCTCTTGTACTGCATCACGTTGCGTGTGCCCCAAGGCGGGCGCAGGTCCATGTGAAGGCCCGCCAAGGCGCATTGGCAAAACACCTAGCGCTGGGGTTGCCGATGCTCATTGAGAGATTTTGAAGCAGGGAGTCAGCCGTGGAGGCATAGTCCTGTTGCATCTTGTGGTGCTGCTCAGGGGTAGTGGTTGGAGTGAGAAAGAAGCTGCTCATGGCCAGAAAGGGCTGCCCATGTGCACCCAGGCTTGTAGTGTCAATCGTTGCAAACTGCTGCAATTGGGTGTCTGAAACTTGGGGCATTGGTTGCTGATCACGCCAAAAGGATTGTCAAAACTGTTCTGCGCATGCGTGTGTTGCTGATCCCTGCAACTTGGCACCAGACCAAGCTGGACCACACCAAACGCCAGTACGCCAGCATGTTGCAAGACATGCAAGACCTGCAAGCCAAGTTGACCGAAGGGCAACAAAAGCTCAAGGCCCTGTCTGAGGACTACATGAAGATTGTGAAACCAGGCACCGCCGCCGGCTGAAGTCAGCGCAGACACCGCTGGAGAGACACCAATCCCCATGGCGGTCGAATCTTTTGTTACCAGTTTGGGGATCTCCCTTTCAGAGGAGCAAAAATCCCAATTGCGCGGATTGCTCAAACAACCCAATCCGGAAGCAGAGGATCCCACCAAAAGGAGGAAAACTGAGGGCATTGTGGCACATGCGGGTAATAGGCATGTCACAGGCCTTGAGGCACCATGGGGTTTCTGTTCCGGTTCCTCCAAGAAGACTTTGATGACGTTCTGGAGTTGGAACACGATCTTTCGCGCAAACCGGTTTGCCAAGCTGCCTTTCGTGGTTCAGGTAATGGGGTCTCTTTTGACCATGACAGAGTTGCAGGGGAAAAGCAACCTTTGTCATGCATGGTGGATCCAGCAGGCCACCTTACACCTTTTAGCGGGACGCTCACCAAGTTAGGCCGATCGCTTTTGTTACAGTATACTGCAAACATGAAGTGGGAGATCGCTTCGTTCGACATCAAAACGGCATCTTTAAGGGGAACTGCCAGCAAAGATCGTGTTCTAGGACTCGAACCTGTACAGAATTCCAACAAAGACTTCAAATGCAGAAAACCGAGATACTCCAACTCCTTAAGGGAGCATATGGGAGAGCGGATGCTCCGCTATTGTGGTTTCAAGAACTGAAGAAAGCATTGCTCGAATTGAATTTCGTTCAATCTCCAATGGATCCATGTGTTTTCACGCTTCCCGGCCAGAATGGTCAAAACCATGGCATGATCGGAGTCCATGTGGATGATGGACTGTATGCCGGAGACAGCCACCTGATGGAGAAGCTGCGAGAACTTTCCAAGAGATTTCCGTTTGGCAGTCAGAAAACCAGAGACTTCATTTTCACGGGTTTACACATATCCCAAAAGGAGAATGGAGAAATCCATGTAGATCAAAGCCAATATGTGAAGGAAATAGAACCCATAAAACTCTCACTGAGTGGAAAGAAAGAAGCAGTTGACAGAAGCCATCGCCGAACATGAACGCCAGTCCCTCAGAGCCGTCATTGGAAGTCTCCTGTATGCAGCAGTGAACACCCGACCTGATCTATGTAGTAGACTTGGAAAGCTTCAATCCAAAATCAACAATGGAACTGTTTTGGATTTACTAGATGCTAACCGAACACTGCATGAGGCAAAGCAATTCGCAGAAGTAAAATTGAAATACCAACCAATCCAAAATGAAAGAGTTAGATTTATAGCTTTCTCAGATGCGTCATTCGCTTCGGTAAAATCACTGAACTCACACCAAGGAATGCTAATCATGGCATGTGATGAAAAGGTAGCCAAAAACGAAAGAAGCAAGGTGAATCCAATAATTTGGGCAGCGAGAAAAACCCAGAAAGTAGCAGTAAGCACACTGTCTGCCGAAGCAATGTCCTTGGCCGGATCTGTCGACACTCTTGCATGGGTGCGCCTTTTTTGGGCATGGATGATGGATCATCGATGTGAGTGGAAACTTGGAGATGAAACTTTAAGTAAGCTTCCTCCAGCCTTCTCAGCATTAAAGGATGACACCTTAGAGAGTCCAAATGCAACACTATGCAAAACACACAAGATGCTAGAGAAGATCCCAACCGAAAAGGCCGTGGTAGCCACAGACTGCAAATCCTTGTTTGATTTGATCAGTAAAACAGCAGCTCCATCATGCTCGGAATTTAGGACAGTCTTGCAAGCAAAATTGATCAAGGAGCATTTAGGTACCGGAGTACTCCTCAGATGGGTTCCATCAGGAGCTCAGCTTGCTGACTCACTGACGAAGATCATGGACAACACGGTGCTCCGAGGAATTTTAAAACTAGGCACCTACAAACTAAATGACGAGCAAGAGATGCTCAAGCATCGAGCCGACATCCGCACCCGTGTGAAGTGGTTGAGAGAGAATAATCAGGAAAAGCCAAGTCGTCCTGACTGCTTGGGAGAGCAATCGTGATAGAAGTCAGGGGATGACAAGGAAAAATCTTTGTCCTAGGGGAGACTCATAGCTATCAAAGATTGCCTGCTCGATCACTTCTCTTTTGAAGGAAGTCCAGCAACATGTTGGACCCCTAAGAAATTTTGGGGTATGTCGAATCTCCAGGTCACATGTTGCTCAACCATGCCGTTCGATGCTACCGGCCCAAATCAAGGG